AAAATGCTTTCAAGGCCACTGGACAAAGATCCAAAATATCTTGCCAGCAAATTAAGGAATTGTCCCCTCTGGAGGAGCAGCATGATAGGACTGGCCAAACACCAACACCGCCCCGCCCCAAACCCACACAGGCTCTGTATTAGGACCCCAAGAAGATAAGACATGATGAGATGCATTCTCTCTCTTCAATCACAGAAAAAGAAGCCTGAATGATCTATCGGTCATGAAATAACAATAAAAAAAAGAAACAGATGCGCGTGCTGTGTGGACTATGTTTCTCGCCTCGGGTATACAATATAACTTCCTAAGAGTTAAAGTCTCCACTTCTTAACTCCCGGCGAGGGAGGCAACGCCGTCTCAAGCACCAGCTCCGCCCGGGCCCCCGGCCCCGCCCGGGCCCCTCCCTCCCCGCAGAACGCCGCGCTGCCCCTTCTCCTCCGGCGGCCTTCAGCCTGTCGCGCGGGCCGCCCGGGCGCCACCGGCGGATAGGAAAAGGCCGAGACCCGCAAACACCGGGCTGTCAGATCCGCACGGCCTCACCCCAGCCGCCGCCCCCGCCCGCTCCGCCCGCGGGCCCCGCTCCCCCCGCGGCCGCCCCGCGCCCAGGTCACGCCAGGCGAGTCCCCGGGCGAGAGACCAGACGAGTCCCGGCGGCCGAGGGGCCAGGCGAGAGCCACCCCCGGGGTGGCCCCCAGCCCGGCCAGGCCCTCACCTGCGTCCATCTTCCCTCTCCGGCCGCCGACTGAGGGAGGCTTCGCTCCGACGTTTCCGCAGCGCGACGCGACGCGACGGGCCGCCGCCGGGGCCAATCCCGGCAGAGCGGGCGCGGGCGGGGCCGGAAGTGCGCGACGGAAGTCCGCCGGCCGCCATCTTGGCGTACGGCGGGGCCCAGCGCGGAGGGCCAGGCTCGCGCGCTCGGCTCCCGGGCGGCCGACGTGGTTCGCTCCGAGGACCGCAGCAGCGACCCATCGGGGCAGCGGAAGCAGGCGTGAGCGGGCAGTGGGGCCCCGGAGCGGGCGCGTCAGCCCGCCGTGCGCCCAGGCCCTCGGCGCGGCCATCTTGCCGTACGTACGGACCCAACGCGCCATGTCGCCGCACGGAGCAGCCGGCCCGAAGCGCCCCCTCCCACCCGCGACGTCGCGAGCCCCGGGCTGCGCCCCGCCGGGTGCTGGGGACCCTGGGCGCGCCGAGGGCCGAGGACCCGGGGCCGGGGGCCGGCCGGGCGGGGGGCGCGCGCCGCCATCTTGCCGTACGGCGGGGCCGCGGGGCCGGCTCCCACGTCCCGCAGCCGTGTCGCCGCGCGCCCTCCCCTCGGGGCGGTCCCGCTCGGGGCTCGGCGCGGCGAGACGACGGCCGGAGCTTGGCGGTGGCGCGGCGGCCGGAGGCCCGAGATGGTGATCTGCTGCGCGGCCGCGAACTGCTCCAACCGGCAGGGCAAGGGGGAGAAACGTGCCGTCTCCTTCCACAGGTAACCGGCCCCTCCCGGCCCGCCGCCCGCGCGGCCCGGCGGCCACGCCCCCGCCCGGCCCGGCCCGGCCCGGCCCGGCCCCGCGGGGAAACTGAGGCCGCGCGGCCCGGCCCGAGGCGCGGGGGTGCACTTTGTGCGCCGGGCCTTGGGGCCGGTCCCGCTAGTGAGTCAGCGCCGGGAGCTGTGTGACCTTGGCCCGCGCCGCCGTCTCTGGGCCAGGCGCCTCGGGCCACCGCGGCCACCCCACGGCCACCCTCCAGCCACCAGGCGCCCACCCCAAGGCCACCCGTCCGCCCACTTGGAGGCCACCTTACGGCCTCCACCACCCTCTCACCCCCACTCCGCGGCCACCCTGCGCCCCATTGATTCGGGTTGGCGCCGCCAATTTCCAGAAACAGTGTATTCTGGAAAAGCTCTTCCTTAGGTCAGTTGTCCTCTTGCATCTGCTGTGACTTTTCTGCTCTTTTGATCGCGGGGGAGCCTGCCTTGATCTCTGCGATCAGGAATGTGGCCGAGCAAAGGCAACTTGTATCCTTAACACGCGCTCCAGACGCTCTGTTACTAGAAGGGTCCTGGCAGCCCCGGGGAGAAGTGGCTCTGCGCGTGGAGGTGAGTCCTGGAGACGCGCTCCGACAGCATTCTCCGGGGAGCGGGGCCGGCCCCCTCCTCAGGCGAGGCTGACCCTGCGCGCTCGTGGAAGGGGCCCCTTCCCACTTCTTCCTGGGCTCCCGCGGAAGCTGGCCCACCGCAGGCCGAGGGGTTTGCCCTCCGCCTGGCCTGGCCTGACTCCTTTCGTGAGGGCTCCTGGAATTTAGCTATTTCAGCGAGTCCTTTTCTGCGGACTTCCACACTGGAGGTCCCAGAACAGTGAACTAAAGGGACGACTTTAAAAACCTCGTTGCAGATACTTCCGTTTTATGGTGCAGTGTGTTATTTAAGTTTTAAAGACCTGACTGACACTGGTTATTTATAGTCTCATTGAAAGTTACAATGGTTTGTTCTTAAGTTGTTACAATCTAGCGAAAGACCTGGTAATGTTAGATTATTTCAGAGGTCAGCCACCGTGTTTTCTTGACAGTTTCTTTCAGAGCCTGTGTCCCAGAAGTTTTGTTACTGTTTTCCAAAATGAGGCAAAGCTATGTAGACAGGGCCTCTCTTGGCTTTGGTATTGGTCTAATGTGGGGGCAGAGGACGGGCAAATTGGGGGAGGGGGTCTTTGGGAAATGGGCTCACAAAGCATTGCAAGTTTAGAAGGTCATGTTGCTTAGAACTTCTGAGGAGTTAATATCCACCCTGGTCTTCAGCGGCCTCAGGTGGGTTAGATGACTTTTGGTGGAGCAGAGAGCCCTCTGGAACGACCCCCCCCCCCCCACGCCCCATGTGCACAGTTCAGTCAGTTTTCTTTTTGATTTTATTTTTTCACCTTTTCTCCCCAAAGCCCCGCAGTACATAGATGTGTATTCCTCGTTGCGGGTCCTTCTAGTTGTGGCATGTGGGACGCTGCCTCAGCGTGGTCTGATGAGCAGTGCCATGTCCACGCCCAGGATTCGAACTAACGAAACACTGGGCCGCCAGCAGCGGAGCGCGCGAACTTAACCACTCAGCCGCGGGGCCAGCCCCTCAGTCGGTTTTCTCAATAGAGATCTTGCTGCCTTACTGAGAAGAAATACTCACTATCTGGTTCAGTATCCTCCAGGGACTGGCTGCTTTCTGAAGGGAGCAGTTTGACTTGTGGTAGTGGAAGGGCAGTAGGAGCGCACAGCTGCAGCTCTGGAGTCTGCTCTCCTCATCTCCTTGAGCCACAGCTGGGGCCAGGCTCGGTGCCGCGTGTCTAGGATGCTCTGCTGGCGACATCTGGCCTTGCTTAGGAATAGGGCAGCCAACCCTCCCGGTTTCGGCATCCAGGTCCTGCATCCCAGGCACAGCAGGAGGGTTGGTCAGCTGTGAGCTTCTAGGAACTGTTTGCAGGGCTTCCTGCAGCCTTTCCTGTTGTCCTGATGCCGTGCTGTGCTGTGTGCCCCAGCATGTCTCTCCCTGCAGGGCACTTAGCACAGCCTGGGAGGAGAGCCTTGCTCTCCTGCCTTCTCTGTAGACGGTAAGCTCCTTAAGGGTAGACAGTGGCTCTTTCACCTTTCTGTTCTAGTGATAAATTGCAAGTAAGAGGTATTCCTTAAATCTTTACTAAATGTTAAATACAGGTGTGGGTGTTTGCAGAAACACTTGTTTTGCTTTTATAGTTGATCATTTTTGGGGGAGACGTTTGATTGTTTTTGATTACTTTGTCATTTGTCCTGCAGATTTCCCCTCAAGGACTCAAAACGTCTGATCCAGTGGTTAAAAGCTGTTCAGAGGGATAACTGGACCCCGACCAAGTATTCTTTCCTCTGTAGCGAGCATTTCACCAAAGATAGCTTCTCCAAAAGGCTGGAGGATCAACACCGCCTGCTCAAGCCCACGGCCGTGCCCTCCATCTTTCACCTGACTGAGAAGAGGGGGGCTGGAGGCCATGGCCGCACCAGGAGAAGGGACACCAGAAAGGCCTCGGGGGGCCTGAGGCGACGTACAGGTGAAGCAGGCGGGAAGGTGGCTGCTGCGGGTTCGTCGTCGTCCTCAAGTGGAAACCTCATGGCCAAGCCAGAGTCCCGCAAGTTGAAGCGAGCCGCTCTGCAGGGGGAGAGCGCGCCCAGGGCCGCCCAGGAAGCCGCCAGTCAGGAGCGGGCGCAGCAGTCTCTGGAAGGGACTGCAGGAGACGGTGTGGCATCCACAGTGACAGGCAGCCAGGCAGAAGCAAACGCGTCTGCTGTAGATGCTAGCGACAAGACCACCACCTCCCCCGCCGCGGGCCTGGTAGATAAGAGTGGCATTTCCGTGGATGACTTTACCCCCCCAGGATCTGGGGCATGCAAATTTATTGGCTCACTTCATTCTTACAGTTTCTCCTCCAAGCACACTCGAGAGAGGCCGTCTGTCCCCCGAGAGCCTGTTGACCGAAAGAGGCTGAAGAGAGACGTGGAGCCCAGCTGCAGCGGGACCAGCCTGGGGCTGGACAAGGGCTTGGCCCAGAGCCCCCCGAGCT